CCTGTTCTTCCTCCCACCTATCCCCTCCTCCCACCTCAAGCCGCACCCCCATCTCCTACCTACTAACCTCATCCCGCCCCCTTGACCTGTCCGTCCTCCCCGGACTGACCTATCCTCTCCCTAACTCCCCACCTACACTCACCTTTACTGGCCCCATCCCCGCCTCTTCGACCTGTTTGTTTCCTCTCCACCTATCCTCTCCTCTATCCATCTTCTAGCAGCCTCCCACTCTCTCCCTATTTATTTCAGAACCCCCTTCCCCTCCCCCATTTCTGATGAAGGGTCTAGGCCCGAAACGTCAGCCTTTCTGCTCCTATGATGCTGCTTGGCCTGCTGTGTTCATCCAGCTCTGCACCTTGTTGTCTCGGATTCTCCAGCATCTGCAGTTCCTACTATCTCATGGTCAGATAGTAGTTGGTTGTCGGCACAATAACTAACCAACAGAATATATTTTGCCTGAAAGGCAGAAACAAGTCTGTCTGGAAGTTACTCAGCTTTATTAGATATCAGATGTGAATTTTATATGATTTGGATGTGATGCGATCACAGTATGTGCTGGTCCAATTCTCTTGACAGGTGGGAATTATACTCAATAGCTGCAGTTGCTGACCCAAGTCCTGACTTACTTAAACATTATTTCAAAATTAAGTGCATTTCTATTGATCATTCTGAGAAAGTAACATGTCATATTCTCCATTACTTACATCTGCTTCAGTTACATGACAATATCCTACAAAAGAACGTTTACACAGGGATTATGTGATATGCTTTGCTAATTCAGCTCCAGATACGGTTCTCATGGTGATCTTTATGCGTCGTACTTACAATTTTTCACAACAAAGCCATCTGTTCATCAATGAATATTAAACTTTTAGAATCAACAGTTGACTGGCCAAGCTATGAAGTAAACAACAAGTACCTTGGTTCAACAAAAAGAGAGTGGTGCTGAATAATGAAACTGAGTTTGCAAAACTACAGTGAACACATTTCAAACTTTATTCTTAAATAGTAGCTTAGTCAGTTTAGCTTGGACCTATTAAAATTCACACAGGTTCTCGCAATATTTGCAAGTACCTTTGATGGGAGGTAGTTAGGGGTCCTGTAGCACAGTTGTAATGCCCTATCTCTGAACCAGGAGGTACAGATTCAAGTCCCACCAGCTTCAAAGGTGAGTAATAAAAGGTCTGAACAGGTTGATTAGAAACTATCTACAAATTAGATCCCCTTTTGCGATGCAGTGGTAGTTTCCTACCTCTGAGCCAGGAGACCTTGGTTCAAGTCTCACCTGTTCCAGAGGTGTATAATAATATCTCTAAACAGGTTGATTGGGAACCAGCTTCATGGGAGATAGCTGAACCTGCCAAGGAAAGGAACAAATGATTGAAAATGGCCACAACTCTTGGGTTTTTAGGCAGTACTGTGGCAAGTATAAACTATATAATTATCCTTTGACCAAACTATCTTCACTCTAAAAAAAACCACTTTCAATCGTAAAGTGCTATGGAACCTACTGGTTTCAACAATATTATCGAATAAAACCTGCTGCACAGCAATGTGCTAGTTTTAACAAGATGGTGTTTCAAAAGCATAGAAAATAACAGCAGGTATAGTTCTGAGGAAGGGTCACCAGACCCGAAATGTTATGATGCTGCATGGCCTGCTGTGTTCATCCAGCCCTGCACCTTGTTGTCTCGGATTCTCCAGCATCTGCAGTTCCTACTATCTCCGAAATGTTAACTCTGTTTTTTCCTTCACAGATGCTGCCAGACCAGCAGTTATAGGCCATTTGATTCTCCATAAAAACCAAATGAACTGCGGATGCTGTAAATCAGTAATAAAAACAGAAGTTGCTGGAAAAGCTCAGCAGGTCTGGCGGTATCTGTGAAGAAAAAAATCAGAGTTAACGTTTTGGGTCCGGTGACCCTTCCTCAGAACTGATGCTTCAAATTTCCAAAGCTTTTCCCCATTTAGAAAATAGTCTATGCCTCTATTCTTCCTACTAAAGTGCATAACATCACACTTTCCCGCACTGTATTCCATCTGCCATTTCTTGCCCATTTCTCCCCCAGCCTGTTCCAGTCCTGTTGCAGCCTCCCTACTTCTTCAATATACCTGCCTCTCCATCCATCAATGTGTCATCTGCAAACCTATCAACAATGTCCTCAGTTCCTTCGTCCATATTGTTAATGGGGAATGTGAATAGTTGCAGCCCCAACACCTGACCCCTGCAGAACTTCACTTGTCACTGGCTGCCAACCTGAAAAAGATCCTTTTATCCCTATTCGCTGCCTTCTGCCAGTCAGCCAATCCTCTATCCATGTCAATACCTTGACTCAAATGCCATGGGCTCCATTTTTTTTAGCAGCTTCCGGTGCGACACCTTGTCAAACACTTTCAGGAAATCCAAATAGATACATCCACTGGCTCTCCTCTGTCCAACTTACTTGTTACCTCCTCAAAGAATTTGAGCAGATTTGTCAGGCATAACCTCCTCCAGACTCAGCCCTATTTTACCATGCACTTCCAGTACTCCACAATCTCATTGTTAATAATGTATTCAACCTAGAATTATTTAAACATAGAATGGTTACAGCACAGAATAAAGTTGCTTGGCAAGTTCTGTCTATGCCAGTTCTCTCCAACAGCAGTTCAGTTACTCCCACTCCCTAATCTTTTTCCCAACAACCCTTTAATTGTTTTCTCTTCAGATAATTATCTAATTCTCTTGAAAGTTATCTAACTCCATCATATTAGGAAGCAGTGCATTCCAGATCCTATCCACCTGCCTCTGGTTCTTTTTCGAACCACCCTAAATTAGTAAACTCTGGTTCTTGACTTTTCCACCAATAGAAACAGTTTCTTCCTCTACTTACCGGCCAAACTCCTCATGAGATTGAACACTCTTATCAAATCTGTTTTCAACCCTCTCTTCTTTAATCTGCTTCTCTAATCAATGTATGTAAGTGAAGTCCATCACCCTTTGAACCATTCTTGTAACCTTTTATGCAACACACGGAATGTCTTCAGGTCCTTTTAAACTCATTTCCCAGAACTGAACACGATATTCTAGTTATGGTCATTTTTTTAAAAAATGAGCATTATTTCTCAGCATTTGTATTTAGTGTCTTTATTTAAGGAACCCAGGATCCTGTGGACCTTTTAACCAATTTCTCCACCTGTCTGTTTTGCCACTTCAATGATTTGTGTAAATATAGTCTAGATCTTTCTGCTCTTGCATACTGTTTAAAGTCAAATCCCGTACTTCACATTATCTCCACTTAGTCTTTGAACCAAAATGTATCATTCATATATTTTGCCACATATCCACCCATTCCTCCAGCTTATGTCCTCTTGAATGCTAACATGGTCCTCACATTTCACAATATAATTTGCAAATTTTTAAATTTAGCCTTGCACACCCAAGACTACATTATTCATATAAATCAAAAATAGTATTGATCCTCATGCTGATCCCAGATCCACCAATATTTGACTTGTCCCAGTCAGAAACAAACAAATGCTCACCACTGTTCTGTTATCTGTCACTCAGGCAACTTTGTGTTCATGCATCTGGTACTTTACAAAACACCTCATCTGGAGGTTTGTGTACACAACATCAATTCCATTACATTTATCAACTCTCTTTTAATCTCTTTAAAAAACACAATCAAGTTTATTAATTGCAATTTTTCTTTAACAAATCCAGACATGTTATTCATTTTTATTCAAGTGGCTCTCAACTTTGCACCAGATTATCATTTCCATAAGCTTTCGCAAATTTTAAACCGACTGGCCTGGTGTTGCTGGGCTTACTCGTAGAATTATTTTGAATAATAACTTTTGCAATTCTCCAGTCATTTGGAATCAGTCCTGTAATTAACCGTAAATTTTATTTTACAGTTGTCATTCATGCCAACAATACAACCATCAATAGAATTACGAAGAAAATCTATGAACTAAGGAAAGAAATTAGTTTCTACTGACATTCTTCCTTAAAAGTATTTAATATTTGCTATAAAAATGGTAGCTTAAAAAATGGTGTGATGTTTTTACTTTTGACCTAAAAATTTCCAGTATCCATATGCCAAATGATGGTAACTACTAATAATTGTCAGTCAGACTGACTGCAGTCTTATATATGCAAAGTCCTATATTTTTTAAAAACTGTGCATTTAAGGATCAAAACAAATGCTCCCATATCTTTCTATCTCCAGATTTTCAGAGATGCATGTCAGGACTGGCAAAAGTCTTGACACATAGGCATACGTGGGAACTGTCCAAGGAGTTTAAAGTTCCAATGTGCAATGTCCTCTCCTACTCTGCTCACTGGAGTTGAGATACTGTGCTGCCAATTTCTCCTTCAGTCAGGTATTAATGTCCAGCATTGCCCCTACTAGATGATCTATGGCATTATTTTTGTATCTCCCTATTTTAATAACCTTCAGCTTTTTATTAAACCTTCCCTCCTCTCTTCCTGTAATGACAATGATTTGCTGCTTGGATATATTTCCATGGTCACCAGCCACCTTCTAGTACCTTGTAAAATTGGTCATTACTCGTATTTGAACTTTTACAGTCACCAACAAATGTTTGTTCAATCTCAAGAAGTGTCACGGCAAAAGTTGTGGTCTCAACAACATTTTACATAATTTTTCTGCAAAGGTCACAAATTGGATATCTCCCCTTTGTCGTAACTATCCATTTGACTCGACCTACTTCAGGCATTCTAGCTCCATTTCTGCTCATGTTTCTGTCCTGTATTCCTACATGTATCACTCATTCTCTCTTTCCTCATTTATTTTTAGTCTTTCACACTTTACTCCATTTCAGTTTTCTTCTCATTTGGCTGAACCAAACAATGAAAAAGAAGGTTCCAGGCTTGCCAGCAACTCATAACTGAATGAGCAGAGATTTTATTTAAATTTACCATTTGTAATATCAATATAATTAGTACGGGATGTGAATGGAAAAATATGAAATTTTTGTTAGCATCATGAAGGCTTAGTCCAATGGCAGTTGCACTGTCTTGTTACCTCTTGCACACTTTGATTGGCAATCTTTATGCTGCTGTGTTCTGGAGGAGCTGATGGTGGAGGTGGTGCTCTTCGTTTCTTTACATCTGTCACTTGAGCCATTCTCAATATGTTGTTAGTAGAAAGCGATGGATTCAACATAGTCGATCGTGTGTTAACAGTTGGCGTGGATGGTGCTGTTGAATAACCCTGTAGTTGCAGGAAAGATTTGATGAAACGAAAGTGTTGCACAAAAATATATCACCAGAAAAATTGCAATAATACTCCACTCTTAACAGGTCCCATCAGCTATCTTTTCTCTTATTCTTTCACAGATTGTGGGCATCGCTGGAAAAGCTAGCATTTGTTGCCATCCCTACCGTAGACTGGGAGTTACATGCATGCCAGACCAAGTGAGGATGGCATATTTTCCTCTAAAAGATAAGAAGTGAAGCCTCATGAACATGACGGATTTTTAGGACACACAACAATGGTTATAACTACAGATAATGTTTTTTTTTTAATTCCAGATTTTATGAAGTCAATTGAAAATCCATCAGCTGCCATAATGGGAATTGAACCTTTGTCTTAAGAGGATTAGCCTACGCTGTTGTGGTTTCTGTGGCAGAGGATGATCTTTTTGGGTTAAAAATGATTTTAAAATTAATTTGTCACAGAGCTGCATTATATTCGTTTTGAAAAACAGAAGCTTTCAGATGAAACTTCAGGCGACTTATTGTGAACAGACATAAATTATGGATTTCATCCCATGATTGAATGTACTACTACATATATATCTATATATAAATCCAAATTGGAAGAAAGGAGATTCTTTAAGCAATTCTTGGAGAGGTAGTGCTCCCATAAAAGTACTGCTCATCCTACTCACAGGTGGAGTGCAGCAGGTACAGGGACTCTGCTGAATTGTTCTTGTTCAATTGCTGCAGTGCATCCTGCAGGTCATACTCATGACAGCTAGGCAATGGAGGGAGCAGCAATCATGTAAGGTAGATGACATTGACTTCTGTGACACACTGCTGTAGGTGAACCCAACTAAGCAAATGATAAGCATTTCATCATACTTCTGATTTGAGTCTTGTAGATGGTAAGGAAGCCAATTGTCACAGAGAATGCAGCTGCTCTTGTTACCAGCAATTGATAAGGAGTATCCATTCTGCTTCAGGTTAATAGTAGCCTCAAATAATTGGTCTATGAAGCATCTAATTTTTACAACAAACTTTGCGGAAGACTACGTTGATTCTGTAAACCAATAGTAGACTAATCTTTAAAAGAATATTTCCCATGAATCATTTCATATATGGTTACACACTTGTTCGAATGTGTACAAGAGATAACCAAATGAGAACATGTTGTGTGAAAATTTCTGTATAATATATTTGAGGTGTGGCATTATCACATTGGGATGACTGGAACATTTTCCCACAGAAATCAAATGGGGCAGTTGCAGATAAAATTTGTTTACATGGAGTGCATAAACATATTTGCTTTTAAAGATAATAGGCTGTTAAAATTTTTAGTTCACTCAATTAATCTTATAGCTACCTTGTTAGTTAATTTACCTAGATTAGTTAGACATGACTTAGCCTGAATAAGGCCATGCTGTCACACTATGGCCAACTCCTATTTGATCAAGTTCTCGCTGTATTCCAATTAAATTCTAATAGCTTTCTCACAACTGTCAGGCTTGTTCTTACCATGGGGTGAATTTTACACTTTTCAAGATGGGGAGAGGGTGGTTGGAGTAGGAGTATGAGCCAGAAGTGTATCTTTCGCTGACTTCCCATCCCTGCTTCTTAAAGGTACTGACTGAAGTGTCTTGCAGCAAATTAACGGTCGGCCAACAGGAAACTGGTCAACTAGGTAAGGGAAAGATGGGCAGTGCACCTAATCAGGTTTTCAGGACAGGTCATCCATGGAGAGAGGGAACAGGCTGTGACATGAAATCATCACAGCTACCCATTTAAATGCATCTGGCAAGGGCTGGTGTTAGCAGTACAGAAATTAATCATCTTGAGGCAAATTTTGGATAAAGAATCCTGCATCGAACCACAGCAGTAGCAGCAACTAAAAGCTTGTTTGGGTGACCATTCAAGGTCCTTGCCAGGGAGGAAAGAACATCTGTCCCATTCCCCTTCTACATAGCAAGTATTTAGAAAAAAAAATCAAATCCTTTTCTTTAACTCTCTTTGTCTCTCCACAGAGACTGTAAGACCACCATATTGCAGTCCAGCTGTTGAAGGATAGCCACACAGTTTGTTATTGATTGCCCATGAGTGCTCCTTCAGGCTGTCAGTGGTTGGTGGTGGTCCTAATGACTGCTGACAAGAAGACCTCACAGCCTGAGCATAGCAGCCTTGACAGAGGGTACAGAGGCAGTGAGCAGCTGTGATGTTGTCTACAGGACATGTCTGCAATGCTGTAAAAAAGCTCCACAATCTCTTACAATCTGCCAGGCTGTACGTACAACCATTTTGCAGATGTAGCTACATGGAAGGTTGTGATGTGTGTCACATGTGGAATTATTGTGTTGTTTTCCCAGTGTCCAAAGCAGCAACCTGTTAGTTAGCAAGGATCTTGAAACAAAATAACTGACAACAAAGTACATGTTAGCCAAACAATTGAAAGCATAATTTTTCCACAGTATATTCATTAAAATGACCTTTTAACTTACAGAAGAACACCTCAGAGATAACCAGAACAGGAGATGGTCAAGCCAACTTGGCAATTTTCAGCCCTCTAGAGGGGTAAATGCTGGAATTAGTAGCAGATCATGGAAATCACACCATTGGGTGGTGAGGTTGGAGGACAACGCTGGAATAGTGGGGATTTCAAGTCTGCATAGCTCTCTCCTTCAAAGATATTGCTGAATTGAGTGGACAAAGGAAATTAGGGAAGGTGGCAGGGATGTAGATTTGATGGGCTTTGTCCATCTATATTAAAAAAAAAGCTAGTGTGTCTTCACAAAATGAGTCTCTCTGAAGTCATTTCAAATAATGGTGCCCTTCATTCTCCTCGTATGTTTCATCCACAGGCAAAACAGTAGCAGCTGCACCATTAGCCCCAAGGGATTAATATTAACCTCCAAGGAGGAGGAAACCTCAGAGGATCCAGCACCATATCCTTGCTGCAAATCTACCAGCGGTGCAATACATGCACCTTGGTGAGTGCATGTGAATCAGTTGTTGGGGATCTACACGCTGTTGCAAGCACATCACAGTCACAAGACTGGTGCTGGAGACTGAGATAATGCAGGCCTCTAAGACTTGAAAGAAATATTAGAAGTGACCAATATGCTGAAGGCCAAGTTGATGAACAGCCTCCAAAATCATCCACCAAGTAGCAGATGCTGGCTGAACAGTGCAAGGTGTATGGAGATGTGGCAGAGATTCCATAGCAATTGTGCACACTATCATGGACAGTGGAAGAGTCCATGCAGTCCACTGTACAGAATGCATTGCATCTTTCAGTGAGAGACTGCTTACTGTCATGTTGGGCAGCTCAGTGGTGGGATACTGCATATGCTTTCTGATCTGCACTCTATCATTTTGTCACTGATTGTCTGGTGTCCATAACCAGAGTGGGAGGCGGACAAGGGGTCTGGCATCACATCCAGATGCTTGTTGCTTTCCATAAAACAGGGAGAGCCAAATGATCAGTCCCACTGATCTTTGGCACTTTCCAGGTCCTACCTTTCAGAGTGTAATCCCTTACCTTGTTAGCCCTGCCCAATTGCATTACCTCACACTTTTCCAAGCTGAACTTCATTTGCCATTGCTCTGCCCATTTCACCTGACAGTTGATTTCCTCTTGCAGTTTACAGCTATCCGCAATATCTCCTCCCTTGCCTCCCCCAGTAGCTGGGCTGCAACTTATCCGGGCCAGCAGACTTATCAACTTTTTAGGCTAATAATCCTGCTGGTATCTCCTCTCCCTCTATGGTAATTTCTTCTAATATTTCCCAGTCCTCCACCCGATGTCTAAGCCTGCATTATCTGTTATAAATGTGAAGGCCAATCAATGTTGACCTTAAACTGCGCACAGCGATTAGCATGCCAATGCCATTCACAGTACTGATTTCCAGTTCAGGAAGTCACTGCCACAAACTGACCTTGGAGATTTGCGCTAGAGAGAAAAAAAATAGTCAGAATGTTGAGTCTGACGCAAAACATTCATTCAGGACCATGCCATGTCTTCCAGTTCCATGTCTTCCAGTTACACACAGATTACCTCAATTGGTCCCAAATAGGCCCTATGCTTTCCTAAGTTATTCTCTTGTTCTTTACATATTTAAGAAAAAACTGTTTAGGCTTTTCTTTATTCTACCCGCCAATGCTATCTGATGAATTCTCCTTGCTTTCCTAATTTTCTGTCTAGGCTCCCCCTGCCGCATGCACCTTTTATACTCTTCTAGGGATTCTGCAGTATTCAGCCCTTGTTTTCTGCCATAAACTTTGCTCTTTTTCTTAACCCTAACCTTTATGTCACTTGACATCCAGAGTTCTCTGGTCTTGGTTCCACCCTTTGTCCTTACAAGAACATACTTAACCTGTACTCTTGCCGTTTCCTCCTAGAATGGCTCCCACTGTTCTGAAAGTTTTAGCTACAAGTTGCTGCTTCCATAGTAATTGGGCTAAATCATCTCCGATCTTGGTAAAATTCATCTTTCCCCAGTTTTGAACTTGTATTCTGGGCTCATCCTTATTGTTTTCCATAACTATCCTAAATCTGAATTGTGATCACTGTCTCCAAAATGGTCCCCGACTGATCACCTTCCACCTGCCTCAACTCATTCCTGAGTATAAGGTCCAGAACTGCCACTCCCCATTGGGCTTCCGACATGATGCTGGAAAAGTTCTTCTGGGTACAATTTAAGTATTTTGTTCCCTCTTTGCCTTGCACACTAGAACTATTCCAGTTAATATATAGCCAGTTAAAATCCCCTACTATTGGTGCCTTATTATTCTTACACTTCTCTGAGATTTGAATGCATATTTAATCTTCTATCTCTCCCTGACTATTTGGAAACTTATTAGACACACCCAACTGCATGTCTGCTCCTTTTTTTTTAAACTTCTAAGCATATGGCTCCATTTGATGATCCTTCCAAGATATCATCCCGCCTGACAGCTATAATTGATTCTTTGATCAATATCGTGACAACACTCTCCTTTTCTATTCCCCTCTCCATC